ACGAATGAACTCATCAAAACTGCTGAAGATGAATACTTGTTGCCAAAAAGAAAAAGCAACGTCAGTTATCTGGAATTATTCCGGTTACAAGAAGGATGATACTTTTTAATATCACAATATATATCGCAGGGTTGAAAAAAATTGCAAAGTTAGTTTTTTCCAATATCATGCAGCCTTAGTGCTAACTTTGTTTGGGGCTCATGCACATTATTTGAGGATGTGGAGCATGCCTTACAACACGAGGGAGCAGCGTCTGCCTCACAACCAATCAGGTCGGGGATCGTGATATTCCCAAATGTAATCAATAACTCATAGCTATTGGCTGATATTAAAAGCTTTTTTGTTTAAACACCATAAAAAAAGATGCGTCTTTAACGGATTCCTGCCTACTGCACCTTTAAGGTATAACAGCCCCAAAATAAGGATGTAGTCACTGCAACCCAGACTGACAAAGACAGGATGTCCATGAACCGGCTCAGTGTCCCTCCAGCAGAACATGATGAAAATGTACTTTGAGAACCACTTCCAATGTGTAAATATGGATTAATTAAAGCAGATTAAGATTGTGTAATTAACGTCTAACGTGACATATGGAGGTTAAAAGTTTGAATCACTGGGATTAAACTAGTTACTCAGGTTTGAAGTCAATAAAAAAGCCTTTCTGTGTTAAATCAATTATTCGATGATGGTCTTTGTAAGTTTCAGCCGAGCGTCTGGTCTTTACTGAGGTTTAAGGGAAGTCCATATTCCAGAGCTTTTCTTATTTTCTGTGGAAATGATGATGCATTCGGGCTTATTTGGGATTATCATGATACTGTTGAAAAAGCAAGGACAATTAATGCGGTCATAGAAAAAGGATGAGTGATTCAGTGTGTGTGTTTTTTTTAATCTCACTGCAGCACTTTGGCACACTGGAGGGGATTAGAGCGCTGCGAGCCTTATTTTAAGGGTGTGATTACATTTTTCAAGGGCGAAAATCACATTATGAGAAGTGACTCAGGGAAAAGCCAAGTCTCAGTGTACCACGCAGCGATGCAGAGGAACCCGGTGAATATTTCTGATGCCTTCGGCCGCGTGGAGATTTGTAATGTTTTGTTGGGGAAAATAGTTTATCGACGGCGAAACACCCGGACGATCACACATCCCCTCGCCCGCTGGAATTGTGTTTTTATCTCTTCCCTGAGATCCTGCGGTGAAAAGCCTGTGTTATGTAAAGTGCAACCACCGGAGTATCATCCATCTCGTGTCCGCACACCTACCCAGCCATGCCCATTTATCTACCCATCTATCAACCCATCCATTTTACTCCCTCGCTCCTGTGATCCGCTGCCCAGTCATAATCAGCCAGCCCTCAAAGGCAAGCCCAAGTCTTTTATCTCAATCAACCATTCTCCACTTCACTATCCCCGATACCATCTCCAGATCTCCTGCGTAAATTAGATCCTGTATATTTTAACCCCCTGCCGATGTAGCAGCACGCCAAACTCGTCAGCTCGGCCGCACCTTTTTCCTTTCAACTGCTTTGATGAGGAAGAGGAAGCCAGTGTTTGAACAGGACTTGTAATCTGCAGGTTGGTTAAGGCGAATAATGTTTCTACCTGCTGAGTATTTATGCAATTTCTCTGATATCTTTTTTAAGTGCGATCGCTGCGCGGCTCAGTTTGAAACACATTTTCTAAGTGAGAGGGCACGGTTCACCTGTAAATACGCAGACTGCCTGGTGTTCTCGCTGCGTTTTACATACTGAGATGTAAGTTGTTCTGGGTCAGGTCACTGTATTAACGTTCATGTGTTTTTTCATCAGTGTGCGTGTGTGTGTAGGCTCCTCTGTTGCTGTCCTTGTAGAAGTCTTGGACCCTGACAGCGGGGGCTTGTAAACAAACGGAGAGCATCTTTCTCGCTGTTATGTTGTTGGTTGGTATAGAGTTCCTACACAGTTGGAATGGAATACCCTACTTTTAGAATTATTTTGGAAAATACCTACTTTTCTCTTTTAGAAAACACTATTTTTTTTACTGTGGTAAAAGTCTGGAAACTTAAATATTTTTCCATACTGTATTTTTCCTTTACCATACTTTTTAAGACCTGGAACTTGATCTAAGAGTTGGATTGACACTTTGTAAAGGATTAGACGCATTACTCCATCATGGTATTACTTTATCATTATAATATTTATAACACCAGATCTGAACTAGAACGTTGCAGTGTTCGGACTTACTGTAAAATCCACTCGCTCTGTTAGGCCGGCAGCTTTGCGGTGATAAACTTTGACAATTTCTGCAGCATTCAGGGCTTTTCGGAGACCCTCTGGATCCATTAATTTAAAAGCAAATGTAATCTGTAATTTCAGTATTTATTTTAGTGACATAGTGTGATTTTCTGCTGTTAATCAAAGGCTGTATTGACCTGAAAATAAGAACTTTTAATTTCCTCAAAGTATGCCTCTAAAAAGTGGAAAACTTTGAATTTAATGGGATAATACTGTTGTTTATCACATATTATTTTTGTGTTCACAATACCAAATCCGAAGAAAAAGGTTTATTCTCCTGCCTTACCTTAAAATCCACTCCCTCTGTGAGACCGGCAGCCTTGCAGTGATAAACTCTGACCATTTCTTCAGCATTCAGGGGCTTGTCTATTCAGAGACCGTCTAGATCGATTTCTATTAAAGCAAATGTAACCTGTGATGTATTCTTTAGTAGTGAAATAGTGTGGTTTTTGCTGTTAGCTGACCATGCTGGATAGCGGCTGCCATCTATTAATCAAAGGCTGTATTGACCCGGATATAAGAACTTTTTATTTCCTCAAAATACACATTTAAAGAATGGAAAATTTTGGGATTTAATAGATCAATACTGTTGTTTATGATGTATTATAGTCATGTTTACAATATATGATCTAAAAAAGAGGTTCTATGTACTATCTTACTGTAAAATCCACTCTCTCCGTGAGACCAGCAGCTTTATAGTGATAAACTTTGACCATTTCTGAAGCACTGAGGTGCTTTCCTTTAAGAGACCATCTAGATTCACTTCTATATAGGAAAATGTAATATTTATTTTAGCAAAATGGTGTGATTTCTGCTGTTAGCTGACTATGCTAGATAGCAGCTGCCTTCTGTCAATCAAAGGCTGGATTGACCTGGAAATAAAGAGTTTTTATTTCCTCAAAATACGCCTTTAAAAAGTGGAAAATTTAGGAGTTTAATGCATCAATACTGTTTTTTATGACGCATTATTATCGTGTCTACAATGCATTGTACTATCTCACTGTAAAATCCACTCGTGCCGTGAGACTGGCGATAAACTCCACCATCTTTGTTTTGGTTTGTTGATCAGTTTGCTGGTTCAGGTCCAGTCTGAAGCTAGGTTGGCACAGAAAACCTGTTCAAGTCTTTTTCCACACAGAAAATCCACAAATGTGTATGAGAGGATCAATAAGAATTGGATTGATAAGCAGAACCGATAATGACATCTTATCAAGTCCATCCCTCCGGTGCTGGTTCAGATTTCATTTAAAAACACCGTTATGTCATTTATAGTCTCCTTTCACTCTCAGGCAGCAAACCAGACCTGTCCTCGAATGTGGGTCTTTCCTGGGGTTCGATGTTAGGTTCAGGAGTGAGTGTAGTCAATGGGATTTCGGGATCAAAGTGTGTGTTAGCATGCAGACGGTATGTAGGTGTCTCTGTGCCTGTCTGTATCTGCGTGTCTGTGTCTAATCAGAGGCTGGGGGAGAGCGACAGGGACACTGTACCTCTGAGACTTTCAGGGAGATAATTGGGACCTTTTCCCAGGTGATTACCATTCACAGGGAGTTAGGATCAAAGCCAGGGCGCCCTGGCAGCCGAGGAGAGAGGGCACGGCTGCCTTCAGTAATCTCCTCAGATAAAACGCTCCCCCTGCCTGCCTCACCGCGGGCCAACCACCGTCCCATCCCTTACCTGACTGTTCCTCGCTGTCACCGAGAGGCAGACCTCGGTTCTACTTGCCAATTCGATGAGATTTGGAAGATAAGATAAGGATTGCATGATACGGGAGCGAATTTCAGCTTCTATCAGACTCAACTTACAGGTACGGAACCAAAAGGGCCTGTGCAGGAATTTGTCTTCAGGACACAACTTGAATCACTTCACAGGCACAAAGACACACGACAATAAAGTCAGGCTAAATATACAAACTCTCTTCCATTTCAACACTCATTGGTCGCCATCTGTGTTTTAAAGATCAGATGTTATCAGAGGCCGATAAGAACATCTTCACATCCCTGTGAGTGAGACCAGGCTGTGAATGTGCCGCTGATGAATGAGATGTCGTCATGGTGTCAGAGGAGCCTCATACAGGCTATAATCTCCTTACATGCTTACGTTATTAGGGATGGTGCGATTAACAGGATTACACAAGTGTTTTTACCCGACGTTTTCTCACCCCTGCTGACGCGTTTTATTTCAGTCGTATCTCGAACGCAGGATTGCAGGACTGCGATCCAAGGAGGCATCGTAGGAAACAAAGAAGGAAGCGTGCTTGATGGTGCCTTGAAGCCTTGAAGCGTTTTCATCACCAGGAGGTATTAAAGATAACTACAAACAGTAACGTAGTAATTTGATCGACTCATTGAAACACCCGTATCTGATTAAACGCAAAATTCTGAAGGTAGCAGTCAGCGCACGTTTAATGATCCAGGTTGCAACAATAGAGGACTCAGCCAACAATAAGCGTGTTATTCCTTCTGTTTGATACCGCCGGGACTGTAAGTGTCTGACTGATGCTTAAAGCAGGATGTTTACAGCGATGACCCAGAATTCAGCGATAACCGAATGATCACATGCACAACAGAGCAGGAACTATCATTAATTCCTGTACTTGTGCTTGAAGACGTCGCAGATGGAACCAACTTCAAACAGTTTCTCAGCCTCAAAGGCGTTTCGTCCCTTTTTTTTTTTTTTCCTTTTGAAATTGAAAAGCCAATTTGTGTTTTTTTTTTTATTTCCCTCCACCAGATGGTTACACATAAGATAAAACGCCACAGTCGGAGGATATCAACACTTTGGAGACCACAGGGACGTTTCCACTCCCCGTGTCTTTGTCATTCTTATCCTCTCGCAGCACGTCTGCTCACGCACAGAAAGCAGGCGGCGCTTTGAATGTAAATACCTGCCGACCCTATCTCAAGGTTCGCCCCGTGGACGGACCTCTGGCAGAACAAGGGAACCGACCGGACTGCATTATTCACAGCCGCAGTTGAAACCATTACCCCCATGAGAGGAGCAAAACCCAGCGGCGAACACTCACACTTGACCCGGCCTTCTGTTCACGCTGTTTCCACATCTTCCATCCCATATGAACCTCTGCATCGCTGTCGAGGCGCATACCGAAACAGCAGTCGCATCCCCGCGGACACCTCGCTGTCGAGGCGCATACCGAAACAGCAGTCGCATCCCCGCGGACACCTCCAGGCTCCTCCGATTAGCAATGAGAGGAGTTTACGTCCTGGAATGAAGACCTGATAAAGGAGAGCGTGAGCTGATCGAGTGCCCTTGACGCGCAGGAGTTTTTCCTTGTGAAGGACTAAACCCTCAGATGAAACACGCAGATAGTCTCCCAGAAAAACAACTTTTCCGGTTCCACTCCTGCCAGACTTGAAAGCATTTATTTTTCCTTTGCAGCAACACGAGAACACATAAAGGCAAACAGTTGGTGGTGAATATTAATATTGGTCTTGTTGTGTTTGCAGGGAGGAGGATGATCAGGTATAGAGTTCCTCTGACTGTTTAAATAAGAAAAATAATAGAAAGAGAAAGCAGGAGCTGGCGCCAGATACAACAGAGAGAGAGGAGGAGAGAGGTGTGTGTGTGTGCAGGTTTCAAAACAAAACATGAGCTAAAATATTCGAGGAGCGTACGCATTTAATAACAGGGAAGATATTAAAGAGCACAACACGAATGAAAGCAGTAATAAACCTGTGTATTAGGATTCAAGAGAGTTCTGTAAAAGTGGAGCCTGGAGAGTGAACATTTTCAGAGCAGAGAAGACGTTTTGGTCGTGGATTTATGAGCTGTGGGGCCTCAGATGTGAACTTCATGTGAAATCAGAGTAAAATACGTTTGATTCGACCTTAAAGTTGAGTTAAACTGACAGACGGAAATGTGCGTGTGTCCTGTGGGGAGGATACTTTGATCTGAAGTTGGAAACATGGACGTCCGTAAGGAAGTAAGCAACATCTGCGGGGGATATTTAACTGGATCGATCCCATAAGACATAAATCAAAGACACTTTACATCTGATTTTAATGCTGTAAAAAAAAAGTTAAGTTCCCATTTCAGGTAAAACATTATTGGAAAGAGACTGTATGGATGTATAAGGGCCAATCCCAATTCTACCCCTTATACTTCAGTTTTCACATTCACATCAAGTGAAGGGGTGTCCCAATTCTCCGTATTGTTAAGGGCAAAGGGTACACAATCCTTGGAACGTCGACAACCGAGACCTCACTTGAAAACAAGGGGGTTAGATTTTGATATGGTTTTTATTGTAATGACACTTTGTTTTTTTAATCAGATATTCAATCCTTTGCTACTCCATGTAAATATTATCTGTTTTTAATTGTTTGTGTATTAAAGTCGCGCGTTATGACAAGTTAGCTAACAAAGCTATAGCAATGGATAGCTACACTGATGTCGGACTCGGGTGACAAATTCACTGTAGGTGGCAAGGAGATGATGACGTAGTGGGAATCCTCTTAGCCCTCAAAACAGAGGGCCAAGGGGACGGAGTAGACTAGGGTGACCATATTTTGAATCCCCAAAAAGAGAAGACAAGGCAGGACAGCCCCCAAAAAAAGAGGACATGTCCGGATAAAAGAGGATGTATGGTCACCCTAAGGTAAGACGAAGGGGAAGGGGTAAGAGTGACAATTGGGATTGGCGCTTAAGCCCACAAACAAAATACACTATCAACGTTATTTATTAGTTAGCTTTAAAATGAGTTTGGTCAAAAATATTTTCATGCAGTAATAAAATTTTGCACTACAGCTTTATTCTGAGAGCTTCCTGCCCTATTCATGTGCATAAATATTTGTCGAGCACACCGCTCCTGAGTTTCATGTGCGTACATAAAAAAGTAAAAGCAGGAGGTTTGATAGAGTAGGCAATCGTGACAAAAACCTGCAAAAGCCGAGGCAGGGAGAGCAGCAGCAAAGAACTTAGAGGGTTTGATAAAACAGGTGTTCATGGAAAAAAGTCATGACAGGCCAAGTCAACCCATCACACTCACTCCATGCCTGCAGTATCAGACTTTTTCCATGTGATGGTTTTGGGTTGCACAGTTTGAGTGAATAAGACCTCAACTCCTCCACTTTTATTCACAATTCCCTTCAGTGTCTGTTTCTGTGCATGTTACAGTCACAGCAAGTCAGATAGTGAGTAATCTAACAGAGTGAGTAACAGAGAGTGGGTTTGTGAAGGGGGTGTGGAAGCCCGTCAGTGAATGAGAGTCAGTCAGCATGCAACAGTAAGATAAAGATCAGACTGCACAGATATGCAGAGCGTCTTAATAAGCGTTTTCTCCCAGCAGCGAGGCCTGCAGGCTCTCGCCGTGGGCCAGGATCTCCCGCTGCAGCGCAGCATCAGCTCCAGTCCTGAAGCGAATGCAGGGGCCTGAGCCCGAGTCGATAAATCAGCCGCCGTGACTGATGTACTTGAACATTGAACCTAAGTGTTTGAAAACGTGGCACATTTTCTATGGAGTCAAATCCAGACGCTGCTGTCAGCACTGATGGACTCAGAGTCACACAGGAGCTCGCTCTGCTCTCTCATTCCGAGAAATCCACCTAAATATAGACGCACATCTTGTTGACACCCCGTAAAGTGCCGATACGTGCTGTCACATAGGATTACACCCGCTGATTTGACAAATAATCCGCCTCTGAGGAGATGTTGGACACACGCCAGAGATGTCATCCGCCAAAATTTGATTAAAAAACACTCGCAGTTTCTGTTCGTTTCACTCAATGATTAATTGTTCAACTAAACCCCCTTTAGATTGAATCTTAATCTACGTGCAGAAATGAATTCAAGAGTTTCCTCGACCATTAAATACCAGAGCGAGGCGGGGTCACCGCGCCTGAAGGGCTCATTATTTTAACCATACTTCACACTCATCGCTGGGTGGGAATCAGCGGTTCTGCGTGTTGCATGTTGCGAGTCCTGTCTCTACATCTTGTAAATATTTAGTCATAGCAGTCCTCTGAGTGATACCCATATGAGTGCCTTTAATCCTTAATGTATGCAAACATCAGTGTAAATGTATGGAGGTGTCCAGATGGCTGGTGTTTAACTGCAGAGTATCATCTCTCTCTCTCTCTCTCTCTCTCTCTCTCTCTCTTTCTCTCCCTCTTCACAACAAAATATGATCACTTCAGTTGAAGAATACTAAGCGTTGGATATCATGTGTGGAGAGGGATTTGAATTGCAAAGAGGCAGGAATTATAAATAAGAAGTGACAGTGACACTGACTGGGACTGGCTTGAATGCTAAAACATTTGGATTTGTAATTACACTCCCTTTGCAATTCAAATCTCTCTCTCTCTCTCTCTTACACACAGTCCGTGACTTTCTGCAACCTTCTGAGCATGGAGACCCATTAATGTCTGCTCCTGGACTGTCACGTTGGGCTGTATGCATAGCTCAGGTCTGGAGGAGTGAGGTCTAATACACACCAACGCTTCCACGCCAAGATTGCGAGGAAGTTATTGATTTATAAGAAGTAGTTTCTAGAGAGAAATGGAAGCAGACCCGGCTGTGCTTGTTTCTGCTGATCCCCCTCTCCATCTCACCTGAACCTCATTTTGATGCGACATGAGGGTTCAAAATTAGAAAGCAAAACCACCGTCCTCTTTGACCCCAGGACTGAAAATGTGGTTTTGTCACATATGTTCACGGGGACCGCTCGGTCTTGCTTTTAAAAAACCTCAGGACATGTACTCTTGGATGACTTCAAGACAGTTCAGTGATGTTTTCGTGGAGCTTTCATCATTTTATCTGCGTATAGATGGTAAGAAACTGGGATTTTGAATCATTGAAAATTGAAGGGGACCGAGAATCACGCCTTGGGGTACGCCACAAGTCGGTGCTCAGAGTTAGCGGCATTCTCACTCAGTTTTATTCCACAGGACTTAACGTTGACTATGAAATAAGGCTTATATTCAGTAATGAGGCATATTGTCACAACCCGTACCCACAAGAGAGTCCTTAATGGGTCAAGACCATAGACCGTATGATACATGGATGTGGTGTCAGTGATGTCACCCGTTTATTTCTGAAGATGCATTTTGAAGCCTATCAGCGGTGGTCGCCTTGGTGGAAATGTTGTCTCAACCCAGCTTTAGATCTACCTACTAGGGGCGGGCCTTAAGCCTCCTTGTAAACAGTGTTTCTACCTGTCAATCAAGTCAGCCGTGCCTCTGATTCGCTGATCTTGTAACCTCAATATCTTCAAAACTAACGCATGATGAAAAAATGTACACCCCTGACCTAATCAGACCAAAACTGTTTTTGAACCAGGCCGTAGATTTGTTCATCTTAGCTCTAAAAAAGGGCGTTTTTGGCTGAGTGTGTATGTGGTTCCTGGTTCTTCTGCAGCAGCCCCAAGTGGCCAATCAGGGAACTGCAGTTTTGATCTCTTTTGTGTCAACTTTATATCTCAAGACCAGAGGAAGCATGGTAGAGGTCTATGAGGATAAAAACTCATCGCTATCACAAGTATGAAACCAAAAAGACATCCCCTTATGGCAGTATTTGGTACTGCATTGGAATAACTCTAACAAGACAAAACCTCAAAATACTCAAACATAAGTATGATTATCAGGGCTTGACAGTGTGACCATTCCACTCGCATTTGTGACTAAAATTAGATGTGTACGAATTGTAAAATGTATTTAAGAAATCAGCCGAGGCAACAAATGTTTTTTCATGTAAATACCACAGTCAAGTTAATCTTACGTTGGATATTCGTCGGACATTCACTGTGGATCTACCGGTGTCTTCTCACTCGCCATAATCAGGAGGAACAACAGCAGCGCGGTTAAATCTACTCGGCACCCTCACTGTCAATGTAGGGTGTTGAATAAGGGACCGTCAATAAGGGTGCGTCAATAAATTACCTGTTGATGTTCTCAAAAAAGTCTGTTTTCCTTCAATAGCTTCCATGTCACGTGACCAATTGACCTAAAATTGATTTTTAATAATAGTACATATGTCGACCAGTAAGACACACAATATTTGATCAATTTTCATTGTGCCCCTAACGTTCTTCGTGTCCTCCTTACTTTTTCAACTTAGCTCCTTGTGAAAAAAGGTAGCGTCTAAAGACGACTGTTTTTTGGGTTAATATCCCAAAAATATTCCCACAAATATCTGAGGTGAGCAGTAGAGAGTAAAAATCAGAGAAACTGTTTTAACTGATTAGGCT